TGCATGCGCGCGCTCAGTCGCCCCCGCGAACAGCCAGCCAGTCAGTCAGTCGGCCACTGTAACAGTCAGTCGGCCACTGTAACAGTCAGACAGTCAGTCAGTCGGCCACTGTAACAGTCAGTCGGCCACTGTAACAGTCGGACAACTCGGCTCCGTTGAGTGACTCGTCACTGTTGTTTCTGCCTTTTTTCCTGCAATAACCAGGTTTCACGTTTAGATTAAATTCTGGTTTTTGGATTTGGTTGGTTTTTGAATCTGCATTAGATGAAAGATGACATCAATATTAACACAGACAAAATGTCCGTCTGTGGTCAGAGGGCCCAGAAATGGACAGAACATCTGTGTGTGTGTGTGTGTGTGTACCTCAACAATCTTCCGCGCCTCCTTATATTGACCTGCATCCAGAAATGCAAAGAGCAGATCATAGAGTGCATTCATCTCGCCTCGCCTCTCAGTCGCAAATTCAATGGCTGCAAAGAGAAAGAGAAAACCAGATTAAATTAATTTATAACCAGATTAAATTCACACGACCAGATTAAATTAATTCATGACCAGATTCAGTTCATATCTGGCCAGATTTGTTAGGTTTATGTTCAGACTCCGTTCAGAGTTAGCAGTCAAGTCCAGGTCACATGATGAGAGCAGAAGTCAGGTGACCTCCAGAGGTGCAGAGTGTGTGTGTGTTTGTGTGTGTGTGTGTGTGTGTGAGACTGTGTGGGCGGCTCCACTCCAGAGGACAGAGTGATCAGCCTGACTCTCACCCCAGGCTGAAGCTCTCACTCTGCTCCTCTTACACACTCACAACTGCTGACACTCGTCACAAGTGTCTACACACACACACACACACACAACCATGAATATTCTGACGTGAACGTCACCAGGTGACTGGACCATTAACAAAAAAACTATTCTTCAGAAAACAGAGAACATCTGTGTGCTCCGAACAAACGTGTGAAAGACGTTAAGATGTCAATAAAACCAAACCAAACACTTTAAAGTTCTTTGATGTTCAGAGTACGAACCTTTCTGCAGAAGTTCTTTTTCTCCATTTTCTATCAAACCGACCAGGACGTCGTGAACACGTGGAAAGACTTGGTAACGTTCCTGACACTGCATGGCCATGTCCAGAGCCCCGGACAGGTCCTTCCTGACGGGTGGAACAGAAACAAGGGGGAGGGGGGGGGGGGGGGGGGGAGAGGGGGGGGGGGGAGATGTCAGGTCTAATCTTTGTGTCAGTGCAGAATGGGAGGTGTATCATGGGTTTTAACCCTTCGACCTCCTCTCCCGGCACTGTGACCCACCACAACAATGCTTCTCTTTAAATTCATGACAGTGCGACTGCAGGTGACGAGGCCTTTGGCCCCGGTACATCACTCTCCGACCAATCAGAGTCACACCTGTCTGTGACACTAATGTTTCTCTGGACATGCTTTTAAAGAGAAAGCACTGCCGCAGATAAAAGGACTCTGATGAGTTTTTAACCCCCACCCCTTCCCCCCCATCTCCTCTTTTGTCATTTCCAGCTCCCTTTAACCCACATCTCACCCTTTGTCATTACATCTCTCCCCCCCAAACGTTCTTCCCTTTTTCTCTTCATTTTTGTGCTCTACTGTTCTCCTTCCTGATGTTGTTTTCCACACACACACACACACACTCACACACACACATATATCCTCCAACACACACTCACACACACACATATATATCCTCCATATATATGAATATTAAATTAATCATTGCAGTAGTACCACCATAGTACTAATGTGGACATTGTTCCTTGTCTTTCTGTTCTGGTTCGTCGTTGATTCTTGACAGACGAGAGCGGCTGAGGTATTGTTCTGCTCAGATTATCACATGTTCCTCTGACATGTGATAATCTTAGCACACGTCCTCCATACATTCACCAGCGTTGCGTTGCCATTTTTTGCTGGACTCATTAGCATTTCCTGAGGATGTGCTAATTTATGGCATCTCCAAACGGTGACAGTTCAGGACATACAATACTAAATGGATGGGCATGAAGGCTAACAGGGCGGGGCCTATGATGGGCTGTCAAGAGCTCATCTGCCTGAGAAGTGTTCATTAAGTCATTAGCACTGACGCCACCGTGAGGTGGGTGCAGGCGAGAATGATGCCTGCTTTGTCCTCTCATCACTTCTCCTTTGTCCCTCCTCCTCCTCCTCCTCCTCCTCCTCCTCCCCTTCCTCCACACTGTCTGTCTGACAGAGTGACGGAATGAAACAGAAGAGAGGAGGGGAAAAAAAAAAAGAAAAAAGTTTGGAGCAGAAGTCAACGAGAACCTGAACCAAGCCAAAGGAGAGCGCTCTGAATCCTCGTCTGTTTCCTGACAACCTCTCCACCAACGGCTGCAGTTACACGCTTTAACCACTGCCCCAGGTGAGGGCGGGGAGGCGGGGGTAATAAAAGAAATATTCACCTATGTTTTTAACAAGCGGTGCAGCTGTTGAAGAAACAACAGTCAAACTGATCCACATCCACGTCAACGTTCCAGCGGCCAAATCATCCAACGCAGGAAATGATGACCACCTCCTGCCCATGTAGGGGAATAATCTCACCCACTGAAGTGAATGGTTCTCCGAGGGACATCCAATCAGAGTGAAGAACGGCGTCACAGAGAGGGAAACCATCTCCGCTCTTCATATTCACTGGAGGATTGATTAGTCAGGTCTGATGACAGCGTTTGTACTACTAACGGCTGCTGACGACACAGATGTAACGCAGCCTGCTGACCTGAGGGGGGCGTCGACGACCGTTGAACCGGAACGTTCTGTTGTGTTCATTCACACCGCAGCTGTACAGGTAGTGTGTGGATGAACACACGTGCAGGGTGTGTGTGTGTGTGTGTGTGTGTGTGTGTGTGTGTGTGTGTGGCGATGGGCCCCCGACCACACACTGAGGCTCGTTGTCACATCCAGTAATTAGTGCTGTGTACATAATTTACATGCTAATGAGTTGATGGAAGCTTCTCATGTAAACAGAACAGAGCCCCCCCCACACACACACACACACAGACACACACACGGTCATATTTGTTTGGATCTGTGCAGCAGTGGACGCTCCAGCCTCCCTCGGTCAACGCTCAACTGTGGTTTAGGTTTAAAGTGAATCGACTCCAGAGGTGGAGCGACGACGTCGTGACTCGCGTTTCATCAACTTCACGGCTGATCCAAACGTGTCACCCGGTCCTTACCTGTTCAGGTAGACGGTGACCAGGGGCGCGCACAGACTGCTGCTGGGCTTGGCCAGTCCCAGGGTCACGATGGTGTCCAGCAGCTGCTGGATGACGGGGGCCTCGCCTTTGGTGACCAGACTGTTCAGTGTGTGGAAGAGTGAGGAGTGGGTCTTATTGAGGACCACCTCCTTCTGTTTCATCTCTGTCAGGACGTCCAGAGCCCCTGGAAGGGAACAGAACAGAAGACAAGTTTACTACACCTCCTCAGACCCTGGAGGAGGAGGAGGAGGTGAGAGGTCTCCACCTCAGACAAAAGGTCAAAAACAGTTTGTTTGAAGAGAGAAAGGCTGTGGAGAGGAGAGCGAGAGGAGAGGATTGGTGGATGTTGGCTGGAGTTTGAATCTGATCAACAGCCACTTTAGTTAATTCCATGAGGGGGAAACAAACCCGTATTAAACCAGTGTTCCGTGCCCGGTGGGGGTTTGATTCCAGCCCTGTATAATGCCAACTCTGTGCTAATTGCTACTTGCAGTTTTCTAAACGAGACTACAATTAGAAGACCTCTACAATGGAGGAGCGCTTTTTACCGCGGCCACGTGGAAAAGCACTCGTGGGGCTAAATTATAGGTATGTGGCAACGAGGCCCCCGGTGGCCACAGTGAGACCCCCGTCAACAGGCGAGAGGTGGATCGCTTTTGGTCAAGGCCAGTAGGTAATGGCAGGCTTTTACTGGGCCGTGCTTCCATCTGGCCAACAGGAGGGGCTAAATGGTGAAAAGGACACACGTGTGTGTGTGTGTGTGTTTGGGGGGGGGGGGTATCAGAGTAAAGTCATTAAGATGCATTTAGCATGTATTTAGACAGCTGCTGACAGGCTGACAGTGATACAGCTGCTCTCACCACAGATCCTAATCTACACTGCAGCAGAAAAGGAGGAGGAACACACACACACACACACAAACACACACCCCTGTAACACTGCAGCTCACCTCTGTTCTTATCAAGTCAGTTAAATGTGGACATGATCATAAAAATAAATGATGGGGAGGGAGGGTGGAGCAGGTGGAGAGGTGTCTCTCTCTTTCTCTCTCTCTCTCACCCGTGTGTGTGTGTGTGTGTGTGTGCCAGTCTGGCTGCCTTTGCTGGCCATGATTCTCAGCTGACTTAATGGATATGCATACTGGCTAAAGAAGTGGGATAAAGAGAGAAAGGGGAGGGAGGAGGGGGGAGGGAACAACAAAGCCATTAGAGGGTGAGGAATAAAAAAAAAAAATGATGCCAAGAATCATGATCTTCAGCTGAGAGAGGAGGGTGAAGCAGCGGACAGGTGGAGACAAGCGTGCCACTGGGTTAGCCA